AGGCTGCGTGCACTACAAATCCCAGAATCCTCTCGTTCTCCATCCATTGCCTGCTGTGACCGGTGGGGCTGTGTAGCCCACTAGTCTCTCGGAGACATATTATACAGATAGATAGAGGCAGCTTTAATGGAGAGTGCTGCGTACTCACCGCTCTGTTCGCACCGACACCTGCTGTAATAATAATAGTAACTATGGCCGGACACAGGAACGCTTGGTTCCCGCCCTTGTTTCCCCCGGTAAGGAAGACGTGCTGCCACTGCAGGTGCCTGGCCTAAGGAGTGACAGCGTGCAGCTACCGGGTAACTTATAGCCCTGCAAGTCTCACTACACAGCAGCCATTGGAGGGTAAGCCAGCTGACCGAGCACAAGTGAGGCACTATATATAGTTTTCCATGCCGATATATAAGCTTGGGTTTTTTTTGTTTTTTATCTTTGTTTGTTAACATTTCTGAAATTTTTTTTTTTATTTTTTTTTTTAGAGCTCTATCTCTCACTGTCAGAAAGGTTAATCACTGCAATGGTGCAGTATGTTTACTTCTCTGCCAAGAATATGGTTATATTAATATATTTTCTTGGGATCACACACTCCTTTTGAAGATTAGATATACTTTCAACTTCCAAAATATAGGACATTTTGCATAAAACCCCCAGACCTGCTTTCTTATTGTATCTTGCTGTATTAATCATACTATTTTCAATTCTTTATTTGGTTAGCAAAACCGTGGACGATGTCTCATCCAAGCGCCCCAATTGAGGTGGAACGTAAATTTGTCCCAGGCCCAGAGGTGGAGGACCATTTGCTTACTCTGGGAGCTGTGCTGCAAGATGAAATGAAGTTCCAAGACTCATACTATGACAGTCCTGATCTACGTTTGACTCTAGCAGACGTGTGGCTGCGCAAGAGAGCAGACTCGTGGGAGCTGAAGCACCCTTTAGTTAGGGGTGCCCGTGGATTGAATGGCACCTCTACCCAATATCAGGAATTAAATAATGAAGCTGAAATTATCTGCCGGGTAAGCGAAGAGTTAGGAGTCCCATGTCCCCACAATTTGGAATCTCTGCAACTTGAAGAGTTTGCAAGATTTGTGACGACAAGGCGTAAATTCCTGTTACCTCTAGATGATAACAGTAACCACAAAGTGGTAGTGGATCTGGACATGACAGATTTTGGCTTTGCAGTTGGAGAAGTGGAGGTTCTGGTACAGACAAAAGAAGAGGTGCAAAGTGCATTGGTGAAAGTGGATGACATATGCAAGAAACTAGGCAAGTATGATAGAGCTTAGTGAGCATACTTTGTCCGATTATAAAACATGCATCCTTAGTGACCATACTTTGTCCAATATAAAACACTATTTTGCAGTCCTGTTATCTGCAAACCGTAACCTCTTTCCCGGGACAAACCGAGATGCCTCTGTGCTGGAGCCTTGCATTAACACAATCACTGCTTTCCTATGCTTCTTAATATGCTGTAGTATAGCTAGTTGAGAAGGAGTGGCAGGTACACTCTTACCCATCATACCTGCCATTTTCTTTAGCTCTCTGGAACCAGCGATAGTGGTAGAAAACCTCCCTGGCAAAGTCTTATAAGGAATTAAAATTAGCACGCTTTTATAAACTGTCACAAATATGACAGACTCCAGACACAAAGCAATTCATCAAGCTGAAATGTTTGATTACCATTAAATTGGGCAATAGTAACAACCCCTGGATGTTGGGCTTAAGGTAACATCCCCAGGATGTACTTGAAAACCAGAGTAATCTAAATGTACCTTTCCAAGTTAAATAGTTTATTTGTAGTATTCCTTTAACCCCTTAAGGACACATGACATGTCATGATTCCCTTTTATTCCAGAAGTTTGGTCCTTAAGGGGTTAAAGAAACACTAGATCCCCCCCAGCTTGCTGAAAGTAAAGGTATAGTTTAACTAAATATTAAAGACACTCTAGGCCAGACATAGGCAATCTTCAGCACTCCAGATATTGTGGACTACACATCCCATGATGCTTTGTCAGCATTATGGGTGTAAGAGCATTATGGGGGATGTAGTCCACATCTGGAGTGCCAAAGGTTGCCCATCCCTGCTCTATGCATTCAGACCACTTCAACACACTGAAGTGGTCTGGATGCAGTGTTCCAGGCCCCTTAACCCTGCAAAATGTAATTATTGAAGTTTTTAAGAAACCGCAATAATTACCTTTTGTTGTTAACTCCACCTATAGTGGCTGTCTCCCAGAGAGCCACTAGAGGGGTTGGTCGCCTAACTGAAGCTGGATGTCCTCACGCTATGCACCCAAAAACCCCATAGGAAAGCATTATAATGCTTTCCTATAGGGGAAGTACTAATGTGAGCGCGCCCATTGCAGCACACACACATTTGGTCTCCCCCTACCAGCTGGCACAATAGCTTCCCTAAAGGGATGCTACAGGCATCAAAATAACTAGCTTAATAAAGCTGTTTTGGCGTATAGACCATGCCCCCTGCAGTCTCACTGTTCATTTTCTCTCCCCCCCACCCCCCCATTTAGCTGTTAAATCACTTTTCTTTTTATTTAGTAGTAGCCACACCTACCCTGGCTGGGACTCACACAGCCTGCATGAAAAATAAAATGGCTTTTATATTCAGTCTGACTAACTTGCATCTCCTGCTCTGTAAACTTAACTTTATTTACACACAAGGGGCTCATGAAGTGTCTAGAAGGCTATTAACATAGCAGAAGATTAAAAACAAAATAAAAAATATATACAATAAAAGGAAATGTAAACATTAGAGGTCTCTTTACAGCAAGTGTTTAGGACTGCTGTGTAAGTTACATGCAGGGAGGTGTGACTAAGGCCGCATAAACAAAGTGATTTAACTCCTAAATGGAAGAGAATTGAGCAGTGAGACTGCAGGAACATGATTTATACACCATAAATGCTTCATTAAACTAAAATTTTTGGGTGTCTGTAGTATTCCTTTAATGACTTGTTCGTGGACTGTTCCTTAAATTTAGCAATTCATTTTTCAGTTCACTATTATTTCAATGTTTATGAATGAACCCTTACATGTTAATGGCTACTGCTTTTTTAACTATTTCTATGAGCTAAACATTTAAGGTTTATTATATTTTTATTAAGTAGTGTTAAATGACATTCTTCTGTTACAGGTGTATTCAGCATTTCTCCAGTGCCAGGTAAAATGTCAACCTTCCTGAAAAGGAATCGAGAAGAACATTACAGGAAACTGCTTGAGGCCCATGTTCTATGAGCCACACTGTCCTGCGGAGACCTTTACATGAACATGGTTATTAACAAAAGTAAGAATTATTAGTGAATTTCAAATTTAGGGTCAAAATAGCTGAATTGGAAAATTAAAGTGAGTGCTGCATGCAGTTTATCTACTCTGGCCTTAAATGGACACTCCAGGAACCCAGACCACTTCTGCTCATTGGAGTGGTCTGGGTGCCAACTCCCACCACCCTTAACCCTGCAAGTGTAACCATTGCAGTTTTTATAAACTGCAATAATTATCTTACAGGGTTAAGTCCTCCTCTAGTGGCTGGGGTGCACTGCAGGGTCAGGAAACCGGATGTGTTTTCCTGGCACTTGAGAGTAAGTTTACAATTTTAAATTCACTGAATTCTCACTTTAGTAAGTAACCCTGATAGTTTATCAATTGTTATGTTCCATCTTCAAGCTAATATGCCATGAATAAAAACGACTGATCTTTTAATATAAATAAAAAAAAGTGTGTGCATATTACATATTAACTGCCAACCTTGTTGACTGTTCTGTTCCTTTTCAAAATACAGGGGGTTATTGAAAATGTCCTCTAGTCGTACCATGTTTTCTTATTATATAACCATTACTTTGCATAACATACTGCAAAACCATGTGAGACAGAAGCCAGTCGATGAATAGACAAATTAGCAAAGTGCTGTTAGACAGAATTGGTCTACATACTTATTTACACTCCTATCCACTTTCATTGTCACTGCAGGTTTCTCACTCATTTTATCTCCCCCCTCCGACTCTGCCTTTCACGGCCTCCCTCAGTTTCTCTCTGCCCTGCATTGATTTCCCGCTTGTGCATATTGACTTTCACTTAGCGCTGATCAGTGTTTAAGTTGTCTGAAATCCGCTGCCTTCTCCACGCTCAATACCTTCGATCTCATCAGCTCCTCCTAATAGCCCAACAAGATTGTTGTACCCTAGGAGGCACAGCCAGTGCTAGCAGCCGCTCAGAAGGGATGCAAGCACCAATATCTAACCTGAAAGTCTGGGATTTGGGATAATAAGTTTAAACTTTTTTTTTTTTTCCCTATCCACTAGGCTTGCTATTTTTGCAGTGGACAAAACAGAGGTCTCCAAACAAAACTAATAAAAATGATAGTCTCCTTAATTGCCTATACAAACTAATTTAGCTTTCTTATCTTGTTCCCATTCTCCTCATGCATGCTCCCAGGGCCAAGCTACAACAGAGCAAAATCCAATTTCAAGTGGTCTGTGTCCTGCTAATAGCTTTCTAGACACCTGAATAAACCTAATATTTACTGCCTTTACATTAGTCTTCATTTTCTCTGTATATGACAGGCAGTTCTTCAATTCCATGACAGAACATTACCAAATAAATTCTCTAAAGGCCCGATGTTTATGTGGATCTCACTTTTGTTCTCTCCACCTACTTGATTATTCCCATTGAGATTGTGTACTCCCCACAACACACACACACACACACAAAGACTGGAAACAGGTCTATTTTCTATATAATTGAAAAATATTTTATTGCAAACTAGGTGCATAGTTAATGTTGAGGAAACCACTTAAAGTTCAAATTAAATCCCATGAAGATGTGTTCCATTTACCTACATGTGCCCTCAACACGAATAAAAGGTTTGTTCCAGGCAATACACAAACTGGCTAAATATAAAAACTGATGTTTCAGAAAAATATTAAGGCCTGGAGTGAACTGTGACACGACACTGCCAACACTGGACACTGCGCTGTGATGTAGATAAAGGTTATCGCTTCCTGAAACCTGGTGAAAAATAGATAAGTGAGATTACTGAAACCTGTGTAATAAGACTACAGCAGAGAAATGAGAATAAAAAGACAATCTAGTAAAACTATTAAAAAAAAACAAACATACTTCTCTTCTTTTTTCCTTTTTTGGAACTTCTCTTTGATTTCTTAGCAGAAGGTAACATGTCCTAAAAAGGAAATCAAAGTTTAATGCTTGTAAATGTTTGATAAATCACACCATTCATTACACTATTGACAGTTGTTAACTTATCACTCTGCCATTACATCAAATACTGTACTTTGCAAATTCAGCCTCTGCGACCCATCATCTTTCCTAGTACAACCAATCTTTTTAAACAATCCTACTTACCTCATTTCTCCCTTCCCCCCCAGTTAGGGCACTAATGTCTGTGAAGTGAGTAAGAGAACCAAGCTGTGATGTCATCGAGAGCACTTTCTTTTTGCGTGCCTTTTCTTGACGCGTCATATTTAAACGCACCATCATGGACTCCTCATATCGGGTTCTGTGTGGAGAAAAACACAGGAGTTGCATCAGGATTCTGTAGAAGTTGCCCCTTTATTATTTATTATTTTAATTTTTTTTACCTGTGTTGCTCCTCTCTCTCATGCCGCATCATATGATATGCTTTCCCTTCTCGTATCTCTTCTGGAGCATCAGTATACTGTTCCTTCAATTCCCGAATAACAGAGCTGCTTAAAGCTCGTTTCTTTGCACGCTCTAGAAGTCTACGTTCCTTCTCTGCCTCTGTATCATCTGGGAAGAAGAAATGTTGGTATAGTGTTCCTTTAGTGCATATGTAACCAATCTAAAAATACTATTGTGACTTGCACAGTTATTTAAATAAAAAATATTGATTACATTTTGTGTCTATTCAACTGTTCAAAATACAAAATTTCACTTACCATAAATTAATTTTTTTTTATAGTACTAATTGCACTAATAACACAATAGTTGCCTGATCCTCTCTCACAGAACAGGTGACACTGAAAAGGTTAAAGATACGCAAAGCACCAGAATTACTACAATAAAGTGGTCTATGTACAGTGGCCCTGTAACTTTAACCCTATAATGTAAAACAGAAAACATTCCTGAAAGCCATTAGAGGCATTCATGCGCTGAAACCCAGTGAAACTATCCATGAGGACATTGAACATCACATGAAAGCAATGAATTCAATGCCTTTATGCAAGAATCAATACTGACTGAATCCTTAATTGCGGTGCAACGTGCGTTTTGGCATTAATCCGCCAGTGCCAAAGAATATTTATCATTAAAACCGATAATTTGAGGAAACATGCTGTTTTATGTAAGGGAAAGAGCACAGGGCGACCACGCACTTAAGAGGAAATTGTTTGAAGAATTCAAGAGAGTTTTCAGCGTAGCCCACAAAACTCCACTAGTCGTGCTAGCTGAGAACTTGTGATCTCTCATAAGGCTATCTGGCGTGTGTTAAGGCGATGTTTAATCATGATGCCATACCAGTTGCAACTGGAACAGGCTCTGCATGCAGGTGACGAAGGAAATCATTTAGTGTTACAGACCATGGGGCTTCTTACCGCGTTTGATTTTTAGTGATGAAGCAACATTTCATCTAAGAGGTAAGTCATTTTCCAGCAAGATGGAGCAACGCCACATTGGCACCTGCTGGTACGACTGTTTTTAAATGACACACTGCTTCAGTGTTGGATAGGTCACACAGGACCCCAAGACGTGGAGCCACACTCTTACATCCTGTAACGTTTTCATGTAGGGATTCATCAAAGAATGTGTTTTGAGCCACAATTACCACTAGATATTCGCATTTTGAACCGAATCAGAAATAAAATCACCCGCACATAACTCTGCTTGTTCTGGCAATGGGAGTGAATGACAACTTGTTAGTGCAATTGCACATTCACCTTCTAGTTACTGTAAACACAGTGAAACAAGTGTCTGTCTCACAAAGAGTAAGCTTCTAACGGTCTTTATAAAGAATCCAGCCCTTTTGCTGCTCTCAAACAAGCATGCGCACAAAGCCTCTTCCTCAATCAATTAGACTGGCGTTGGTAACAGTCTGAAACTTGGAAATAGATTTACTGAAATATTACACATAAACCAGTATGAAGTGATCTTAAAAGGACTCTTTATTGAGCTGAACTGGGAGACTGATGGAGCTATATACATGCTGTCCTGCAGCTGATATAGGTTGATGGTGTTATGGCAAGTTTATAGTTCTTTAGTTTCCATGATTCAACTGTTATTGTAATTTCCTATCTGGACAAAGTGGCTACAAGGAATTGGAGTACTAAAAACCATGCCTTAATTGCCTTGCTGTTTGTATCCATCTATTAGGAATTTCCCTTGGATGTATAAAAAGTATTGTTAGACAGATTAAGTGAAGTTCTGTCTAAAACTACAATTCTTTTACTCTTACATTAAACTGTAGTTGTTCTGGTGACTATAATGTCCCTTAAAAAAGAACATTCTGGACCCCTAAAGCAGTTTAGCTTACCAAAATATGTTATGTGTAAAGAGTGTGCACTCTTTACATTTTACAAAAAGTTAAGATTTTATAATTTAACCTAGTTACACCCCCCTGACTTTTTGGTTGCTTAGCTCAGTTGAGCTAAACTCAAGAGGCACCAATTGCTCAGAGCACCTGATTTGCAAAGATATCTCATTGAGCTGCATTGGAAGGTCTGTGATTGGACAGCCAAAGAAAATCTGGGTGGGGTTAGAAGCCCTTTTTATATACTGCCAATAAAAAACACATGCATGGTTTAATTGGGATAGATTGAAAATATATTCTCTCTCTCTAAAATAAATTATAAATTATAAATATAAATATAAATATATATATATATTTATATATTTTTTTTTTTATTTTTTTTTGGAGTGTCCCTTTAATATCGCCCAGTGGTTTTAGTACATACCATAGTGCACAGGTGCCAGCCGAGGGGGGATGTATTTTCTGCCTTTGCTCTGAGATTTCTTAGCAGTTCCACCGCTTGCTTCTCCTTCTCCATCTGACTCTCCATCAAACTCTTCAAGCTGCAGAGAACAGGGAGCAGTTATTGAAACTGTAAACACACTGCATAATATGATACTTTAATATATGTATGCTTATTGTACAGTTTCCTTAAAAAATAAATACATTAGCACTTAATAGATGTTACATAAGCATAAGTCATCCATACTTGAACAATGCCAAACACTATATATCAAGGCTCAAATTTCCACTAGCCATTGGCAATTCACCTATGCTGGGAATGTTATGGCTTGCATTGATGAGTAACTTATGGCCTGGCTAGAAACAGAGGAATTCACATTTTAAGCCCTGGTCTACATAATGTGCAATATTGGTTTTCTTTAACGGTAAACATGATGTTTTATATTTCAGTAGATACATGTATTCACAGAACAACTCACTCTAGCATCCAATTCGAGTATTTCCCACACTTACCTTACTCATGAGATTCTGGGGATTGGGTTTGAAACGTAGAGGATCATTCTCCCCAAGGCTCCCGGTCACAGCCGCTCTTACCAATTTATCTATTTGGTATTTTAGTTTCTGGTCAATAGGGCGCATCTTCTCCAAAACCTAAAAAGATATCAGGACTATAAGTCATCTGTCCAATGTGGAAGCAAATGTCTCATACAACATACAAGTGTTTTTATTATCCACTTTTCCCAGCATTCTAAGTAACCACTTATTGCAAGGCACATTTTGGACACCTCCAGGTTAGCTTCTTGTCATAAAGCTCTGCCTTCTGCACCTTCTAGTCCGCATAGAGAGCGCAAACAGAATAGAGGAAAAATTACACAAAAATTTTTTATTTCTCCTCTTTGCCCAGGTGCTCACTTTTCCAAACTGGAAATAACCATCATTATTTCAGGACAATAGATTAGGAGCATGAATAACAGGCTCCTAAACTAACCTACTATATACTCTGTAAAACAGCTGATACTGTGGACCAGTGGTCTTCTGACCCTTCTCAGACGTGTCTGCGACCTCGAGTACCTGTCAGTGCATCAGCCACCAGCGGCGATAGACCACTAGGTACTTCGGCCCTCTCCAGTCAGAAAAGGTCACTGAGTGCTCGAGCCCGTGGCTCAGAGATGCCGGCCACTACTGCGCTCTGGGACTGGAGTTTGGCCCTACCTCACATTTTACAGTGACCATCTGGCACTTCCAACCATGGGCATAGGGTGACACTGAACTTACCACCTTGAGTGTTTAGCCTGCTCGCCTTATGCCAATTATATGCCCTTTGTTACCAATGCATTGCTTCTTATTTTATTTTTACTATGTGTAGTGCCATTTTATGATGAGGGAGGTTTCTGTGGTTTTACCTTTCTCCTCTTGCAAATCTGGCATGTTTTTTCCTATTACTTGAATTGATCATACTGTCAATTAGCTTTGCCTACTTTCATAGTTACTCACAAATCTCTCTCTATTAAAGTATTTTGTCTAAGCATGTTCATTATACTTACCAATTGAGTCATTATTACATGCCATGATATTGTTTAATTACCTCTCTCAAACAAGGTCATAATTCTTTATTGACTAATGCTTTGTTATACCTTAACTTCTCTTGCTCACTTGTTAATGTATTTTGTGCTGAACTCTACTTAAAAAAACCCAACAACCACAAAAAACAAGAGTCACAAAAAAGTTTACTCTCCTCATTTCTTGTGTCGGGACTCCTCCACTGCAGCCTCCAGCTTTCCCATTTGGTTCTTTCAGCATCCAAGCTGGCATAACCTGCAATCTCCTTCAGTTCATTGCTTCTTGAAGAAGCAACACATTGAAACTAGGCACTGCCCCTATGAAAAGCATAGAATTCCAAGACGAAGGAGAAAGCACATCTAGTGCCTGCCAGGATGACCACCATCAGAGGTTTATTTTACCCTGCAATGTAAACAATGCAGTATCTAGTAACAGCTGTGTATTCCTTTGAGTTGAAAAGAAGTACTGTATATTTAGCCTATTGATATGTCCATTTGTAATATTGATTAAAACAAATGTCACTCAAGAAGTTACCCGCTTGTGTAATGAGAAGACGCAGAGCATGAATCATGTCATTATTATTGACTTTATTCTATGTCAAACAACTCAACGTCAGCATGTCCCTGTCGGCACAATGCTTAGCATGAACAAGAAAAGTTACACATAGGTTATCTGCCCATAAAATCCTAAAGATTTGAAACATTCCCCAGAAAAATAGGAATGAGATAAGGTTTAACTCTTCCTACCACAAACATACAAAAGAAAAGGGCAATAACAGTGTTTATTCTGCTATGATAATGACAATTCATGCCCAGTATAAATTAGTATTAATCAATAACATTATATGGGGGAAAAAAGAAGAGACAAAGCACTACTAGCAATTTGAATATAGAGACCATGGTTTGTGAAAATAATATCACACTTAATGTCTCTTTAATGCTTTCCCGACCAGAGACAGAAATTTTCCATCAAGCTTGTCCTTGCGTTAAGGACCCTTGACGGAAAACTTCCATCATTTACCAACGTTAACGCCAGATCTCCGCGTTAACGCTGTTGCTGGGTGCCTCGGTGTTACAGTCAGACCAGCAACAGCCAATAGCACTGTCCCAGCACATGTGACAGCCAGTCACAACGATCACAGTGCTGCTGGGATTTCTGATCCTCCTCCCTCCACCTGTGTGTCTCTAGAGAAGTGGAGAGAGACAAGATGGATCAGTGCTGCAACATTGTGTGCCATTTTAGTTTAAACTGTAGCTGTATTATAATTTTTAATTTTATTACTTTTAAAATAGTTTTAACCCTTCCCTTGCCCTTCTGATCACTGCCTGCAGTGATCACTATACTGATCACAGTATTTAACGGATCTAATTTATTTATTTTTACCCTCAAGAGTTAATTTAGATATTTTTTTTTTACCCTTAGGGGTTAATTTTATTTAATTTGTTATTTTATTAATTTGATGTTGATTCTTTAGTTAGCTGGAGTGGGTGGACTTTAGTGGGAAATTGAGTGTTAGGCTAGTTAGGGACTAAAAGTTTGGAAACTTTTTTTAAAAATATTCAATTTACAGCTTCACAATGTCTAGAAGGTGCTGAGGAGGCCTATGATATTTAGCAGCTGACTGACGCCACAAACACCTCTGAGAGTGGTGACGACTCTTTGCCAGATACTGAAAGGCCCTCTGTTGTAAGCACAGAGTCCCCTGACATGGCTCATGGCGCTGGTGAATGGGAACCCCCTAATGATTTTACGCCTGACATCCCAGAGTTTAATCGTAATCATGGAATTCAGTTGTACTTGGCTAATTACAGTGCACTGGATTTCATGCAGCTATACTTTGGGGGTGATATTTTAGGGGATATCGTCACCGAGACCAACATATATGCTGCGCAGTACCTGATACTTAATGATCAGAGTCTCATCACCATGAAAGGGAGTTGGTACCCCATCAGTGTGCCAGAATTGAAAAAAAAATTTGGGCACCAACTTTGCTAATGGGCATTATTAAAAAGCCCGGCATTAGGATGTACTAGTCCAAAAATCCTGTATGCAGCACCCCTATTTACTCCCAGACCATGAATAGGTCCAGATACGAAGTGATACTTTGCTTTTTACACTTCAGCGACAATTCAAAGGGCCCCCCCAAGAGATAATCCTCAGTACAATAATCACTATAAGATTCGCCCCCTAATGTCCCACTTCAACAGACAATTTGGCTCAATTTACACTCCACAAAAAATATATTTGTGTAGAGGAGTCTTTGATGAAATACAAGGGCAGACGGGGGTTTAAGCAATATATCCCTGTCAAAATATCCCGGTATGGGATAAAAAGTTATATAATCTTGCGAAAGTGCCAGTGGCTATGTTTACACCTTCCGTGTTTACAAAGGTAAAGACAGCCACTTGGATACCCCAGGGTGCCCGGATATCATTGGGACAAGTGGGAAAATTGTATGGGATCTAATTATCACATTGCTAAACAAGGGGTATCATTTATATATAGATAACTACTAAAACAGCATCCCTTTTAGGATGCTTTATTGCTTTGAAACTGTGGCCTGCGGCACTATGCGAAAAACATGTGTCGGTTTTCCAAAAGCCCTGGCACAAAAAAAGCTCAAGAGGGGGGAAAATGGCTGCTCTCTGCCAGGACGAAATGCTGGCTCTCAAATTTAAAGATAAAAAGGAGGTGTTCATGCTAACATCCATGCATACTGAGCACACTCAAAGAGTCGCAGTTCGCGGCAGACAAGAAACTAGATGGGTGCCAGTCTGCATTAGGCAGTACAACAAGCATATGGGGGAGTTGACCTGTCCGACCAACTGCTGCAGCCATATTAATACTGAGGAAGACCAGGGCATGGTACAAAAAGCTTGGCATTTACCTAATGCAAATGGAAACATACAATGCCTTTATTCTATACAAAAAGGCAAATGCTGAAATTAAATTCACATTTCTGGATTTTCAGTTTCAGCTGATTTCTGAGTAGCTCACGGAGAACCATCAGTCGGGCCTAGCAGCAGAAGGGTTGAGACAAGTCACTTCTGTTTCCGCATACCACCAACCCCTAAAAATGGTGCAGGTTGTGCTACCAGAGGGGCATAAGGACAGAAACCATCTTTTACAGCCCTGATTGCCCCTCTAAGCCCAGCCTTTGGATTGGCAACTGATTTTATTTTATAATATATATATATATATATATATATATATATATATATATAATTATTTAGTTCTTCCATTTTAAAGTTGATCACAACAATAATTTTTGTATTTTTCTAATTTTATTTAGTTAATTATGGTGTGTGGTAATTCATGGGAAATTGGGGAGTTTAGATTTACGTTAGGGATGAAAAGATTTAAAAAAAAAAATTAAATAGAAAAAATAAATAATAATTCAAATTCATTTATAACATTATTTAGTTAAAGTTATTGTGTAAGAAGTTTAAAATGCTTAGGAAGTTCAGTGCCGAGGAGGATTCTGAATTCTATCAGCAGATAGAGTTGACAGACAGTGCCTCAGAGTTTGATGCAGGTTAATACAGTGATTAATACTTTCTTAAATAAATGGTAGGCCTTTGTGAGGTAGTTTGAATTATCAACCTGCTAAGATGCTCTAAAATTGCACATGGACCCAGCGTCAAAATTCAAAGTTTAAAAAACAAAAAAAATTAAAATTAAAAAAAAGCAAAACTGATGTGGCTTGGTCTCCAAGGTGCCCCTTCAATATCCACATATCCCTGAAAAAAGTGCACATGGGGGTATTGTTGTACTAAGACGACATAGCTGAGCAAAATATTAGGTGCCTTGTGTATGCCGTAGCACACACAAGGATTGCAAAATATACAGTAACATCTCCAAGTGTGTGTCAAAAAGACAGAAAATATGCTAATTGATACTAGACTTGGTACAAACTAGCAAACAAAAAATTATCCTGCGCCAAGGTTTAAAATACCCCGTGGTGTCTACTTTTACAAATGGTACGGCTTTGTGGGGTTTCTTTGAACTGTCAAACTGCTATAATGCCCCAAAATGAAACATAGGCCCATCAAATCCATCTATCAAAATTCTACTGGAAATACAGAAACAGACAGGTCTCCTATATGGCACTGTAGCTTCAAGAAACAGTGTCAGAGACATTAATTGGGGGTATAGTTTTACTCAGAAGACTTAGTTGAGCATAATTTGAGGTCTTTGATCATAGTGGCACATATCAAATATACAAAATGTCTAGCAAAAATGTAATACGTAAAAAATGCCAAGATGTATTTTTTACCACAAACGTCGACATATATTGGTGAAAAAAAATGGTGCATGTTAAGGCACAATATGCACCATATGAGATACCCTGGAGTGTCTACTTTTACAAATGGTAGGCTTTTGTGGGTTTTTTGGGGGGGAACAGTCAAACTGCTTTAATGCCCAAAACTGAAACATAGGCTCATTAAATCCGTCTCTCAAAAGTCTACTGTAAATACTAAAAAGGAAAGGTCTCCTATATGGCATTGTAGGTTCACGAAATAGTGCCAAAGACATACAATGGGGGTATCGTTGTACTCAGCAGATATAGCTGAACACAAAATGTTTACAGGAATAACACACCAACTCTACAAAAATACACACGAGAAGTTCTTTGTTGTAAGTTTGTTATAAGTTTGTGTGTCAAAATCGAAAATAAAAACCCTAAATTTTACTCCAATATTTAACAGAGATTGGCAGTGAAATGGCTACATAAAAAGTGTCAAAATAAACTTAAATAGCCTGTGAGGTCTAATAATATATATATATATATATATATATATATATATATATATATATATATATATACACACACACACACACACACACACACACACACACACACATACACTCTTTTGTGAGGCAATTTTGTTTTAGCTTACAAGACAAACATACCAGATTCTAAAATCGCTCCACATTAAATGTTTATTTTACTCCTTGTGTTTTGTGACCTTAAAAATGGTATATAATGTGTGTTGGTGCAATAAAATAGTAAAACGCAAATTGCAGTTGAACGTGATGTGAAAATTACTGTCCTTAAGTGCAAGACAAGATTTTGAAGCTGTGTCCTTAAGGGGTAAACTGTTTACATATGGTTTAGCCCTACTCTTTCATCCAAGTCATCGGCTTTAATGCAGAAGCGTTTGACTGGTCGCTGGCTAAGAGCATCAGTTGGTGCGCTAAAACTGCATCAGAAGAAGCTCTTTGGTCTTCCCAATTAGCTTGTTATATCACAATACTATCCCAGCCTGTTCTTGGCTACACATGCACCCTGATCCTAATGTGTCTGAGTGATTTGACTAGCTGCCTTATAATATAAGTGGTGTTTCAGCTATCATCAGATTCAAAAGACTGCTGACAAAAGGCACAACATGAAAATAATGAATATTAAAGTAACTAAAAATTCAGAAATACAAACCTGTATTCATAACACTTTTGTGTCTGTCCTAAGTTCTAGAGGTCACCCCCACCTCTCTGTGCCAAATAATAATGAAGAAGAAAGGTAAAAAAATAAAAAGGGCCAGCTGCTCAAAAAATGTTTTAAATCCTTCATCAAATATGCTTTAGAAGCACATTTATTAGGCTTTTTTTCTTCTAAAGCCGAACCTCCCATGTGCCCATCCAATCTTTCTTATAGAAAATCATTGAATCAATGCCTTCTATGGGGGCTGCAACATCACGTGAAGGAGTTTTACTTAGTTGTTGCAGAGGAAGTGCCTGCAGTGACTATCAACTAAAAAGCCACTGGAAAAGTGTTTAACCCTTTAAAGTATTGCAATTTTTCTGGAAAAACAGCAGTTTCTTACCTTGAATGATTTAAAAAAAAATGGCAGGATCATTTAACGCAGGCCACTTTATTAAGAGGAAGTGGCCTGTTGTTCTTTAAAGGGTTACTCCAACTAGAAACATAGAATGTGACAGCAGATAAGAACCATTCGGCCCATCTAGTCTGCCCAATTTTCTAAATGCTTTCATTAGTCCCTAGCCTTATCTTATAGTTAGGATAGCCTTATGCCTATCCCACGCCTGCTTAAACTCCTTTACTGTGTTAACCTCTACCACTTCAGCTGGAAGGCTATTCCATGCATCCACTACCCTCTCAGTAAAGATACTTCCTGGTATTATTTTTAAACCTTTGTCCCTCTAATTTAAGACTATGTCCTCTTGTTGTGGTAGTTTTTCTTCTTTTAAATATAGTCTCCTCCTTTACATATTTAAATGTTTCTATCATATCCCCCCTGTCTCGTCTTTCCTCCAAGCTATACATGTTAAGATCCTTTAACCTTTCCTGGTAAGTTTTATCCCGCAATCCATGAACCAGTTTAGTAGCCCTTCTCTGAACCCTCTCTAAGGTATCAATATCCTTCTGAAGATACGGTCTCCAGTACTGTGTACAATACTGCAAGTGAGCTCTCACCAGTGTTCTGTACAATGGCATGAGCACTTCCCTCTTTCTACTGCTAATACCTCTCCCTATACAACCAAGCATTCTGATAGCATTTCCTGCTGCTCTATTACATTGTCTGCCTACCTTTAAGTCATCAGAAATAATCACCCCTAAATACCTTTCCTCAATTGTTGAGGTTAGGACTATCACATATTCTGTACTCTGCCCTTGCACTTATCCACATTAAATGTCAGTTGCCACAATTCTGACCATTTTTCTAGTTTACCTAAATCATTTGTCATTTGGCTTATCCCTCCTGGAACATCAACCCTGTTACATATCTTAGTATCATCAGCAAAAAGACATACCTTACCATCAAGACCTTCTGCAATATCACTAATAAAAATATTAAAGAGAATGGGTCCAAGTTCAGATCCCTGAGGTACCCCACTGGTGACAAGTCCAAGCTTCGAATATATTCCATTAACTACAACCCTCTGTTGCCTGTCACTCAGCCACTGCCTTACCCATTCAACAATATTGGAATCCAAACTTAAAGATTGCAGTTTATTGATAAGCCTTCTATGTGCAACAGTGTCAAAAGCCTTACTGAAATCTAGGTAAGCAATGTCTACTGCACCACCCTGATCTATAATTTTAGTTACCCAATCAAAAAAATCAATAAGATTAGTTTGGCATGATCTCCCTGAAGTAAATCCATGTTGTCTCTGATCTTGAAATCCATGTGTTTTAGATGTTCAACAATCCTATCCTTTAACATGGTTTCCATCACTTTCCCCACTACTGAAGTAAGGCTTACTGGCCTATAGTTGCCCGACTCCTCCCTATTGCCTTTCTTGTAAATGGGCACAACATTCGCCAACTTCCAGTCTTATGGGACTACTCCTGTTAACAATGACCACTTCATGTTTAGAAAGTCATGGAGGTAGGAATCTGTATGTGCAGCATGTAAGATTGAAGCCCTGCTGATTCAGAGCAATCTGCATATGTTGTATTGGGTGCTCGTTGCACTCCTGGCACACGATTTATACCACCCATAACTCTTATTGAGCGTGCCAAATATGAATACTGTGCACAAATTGCATCGGTCATCAGTACACTGGTAACAGATGTAATGAGCTTCTCCCTTGCAGGCAGCATGCTTGAAAGGGGTAACACCAGTGTTCCATTCTGTGACAATTACTACAATTAGTTTTTTTTTTTTTTTTTTTTATCACCCCCCCTCCCAGATTCATAACACGCGCATGCGCTATAAGCCAGTAAAACAATAAAATAGGTTAGAGTAACCCTTTAAGCAAAATAATCTTCCTTTACACCTCAACCAACCCGGGCATAAACAGAATCTTAAGAATTCTCTTATAAATGACCCCCTCCAATATTATTCGTCACATTGTAAGTGACCCTCACAAATACAGAATTGGATTTATTTACATGAACATTCAATAAGAATCAGGTTTAAATGCTCCAACACTAACCTAAAACATTCTTATAATTCTATTAAAGGAACACTACAGGCTCAGGAACAAAAATATGTATTCCTGACCTTGTAGTGTTACAAACACCATATAGCCCCCTACCCCACCCCAAATATAAAACATGTAGTTGTTCTGGTGACTATAGTTTCCCTTTAACATTTAAAATACAAATTATATGGTTTGCAATAAATATTTGGCATTTTATCGACAAGGCTTTGCTGCGGCTTTAATTCAAACTGGATCTCAATACTATATTCTCCTGTAATGCATGCCGGTAGATAAAACCCACACTATATTTCATCCTTAAGATTTACTTTTTTTGTCGACACATGTTCAAAACATTTCCTCATAGGAACATGCTGTTACCAAAACCAAGTAATGTAATTGAATTTTTTCTTACTGTGCGCATCTCCACCAGCCTCATGATCCCTGGATTTCCATTTATGTGTCTTCCACATGTCTTCTCCAGAATGAGCTGGGTTAAATCCTGCATATACATCAACAGGAGCTGATCCTTCAACTCCAGGAAGCTTAAACCCTAGGGAAAAAACAATACATATAGTGGATTAGCATCCCTGTGCTCAAAATAGCCCAGTTACAAAACACTGCATAGAACATTAAGTACGTCTTACTTTTTCTGTAGGATAAATGCCATTTTGGATTTTCTGTGTTAGGTTCTGTACGTGGGCTGTAACTGCTGTAACCTGCAAAGACAAAAACACTTTCAAATGACTAAGCATTAGGTAAATGAACATTTGTAGAGCTGCAACCAACTTAGAAGAGTAGCAGCAGCTGAATGCTTAGTCTCTGCAATGCTGGGAGCTCAGACTTAGGGGAAAAACAGGATGTTGTAGGTTAGGAACAAAATGTACAGTGTAATAGGGAACTACAGTCTTTCCCCAAAAATAAGACCGGGTCTTATATTAATTTTTCCCCTGAAAAAAAGTACACTAGGGCTTATTTCAGGGGAGGTCTTATTTCAAGGGAAAACGTGTGCTAGAAAGCAGATCTATGTTAGGAGGAAATCCCCCGAACATAGATCAGTTCACTAGGACATGGGATCCTGCAAATCTATGTCCGGGAAACTTTCTCGAACAGATTTAGCTTACTCTCTAATAGAATACCGCAAATCCATGTTCGGTGAAACTTCCCCGAACATAGATTAGTTTACTCACGAATGTAATCTTGCGTATCATGATCGGGGAAACTTCCCCGAACATAGACAAGCTTACTCGTGAATGGAATCCCGCACATCTATCCCTGAACATAGATAAGCGACCGACTAGGGCTTATATTAGGAACATCCCCCGAAAATAAGCAAGTCTTATTTTCAGGAAAATACAGTACACAGTCTGGTAATTAAATATATAGCAAGGGACTCGAAAAGTGGTTGGGTAAATAGCATATCTACAGGGTACCACACATTACAAATTGTGTAAATAAGATGTAGACTACAAAATAGAGAATAAGGAACAACACATACACATATAAATATTTAAACTTATAAGGTTACTTAAAGGGACACTACAAGCATCATCGATATGGTATTAGCTGGCGCTATATAAATTATAATAATATTCATCAGCACCCAAACCACGTCATCTAATTGAGCTATAGCAGGGGTGCCCAGACGGTAGATCCCCAGATGTTTTTAAACTGCAGTTTCCATGATGCTTTGTCATTCTATTTGCATGGAAAGCATCATGGAAGCTGTAGTTTTACAACATTTGGGGGTGGGGGATCTACCTTTTGGACACCCCTGGTCTATAGGGTGTTCACACAGCTGGGATCAGACAGTGTTTGCTGTGTTGCATGGAGGAGCCTGGCTGTATTATCATTCACTGTAATGGAGCATGTCCTGCTGGGCTCACTACCTGCTCCTGGAGGTTGGACAGCAGACTCTGTGCGGCTGGGAGGTCCTCGGACACTGTAACCTGGAACAACAGACGCCATGTTATACTGATATAAACGGACATGCACACCATCACATTGTATATTAATGCAAACACGGGCTGCTATCAGCACATGCGCTCACAGCACCGCTCTCACCTCGGGAGCCGCCATGTTTCTCTCCGGCTGGGAAGCATGCAGTGGGCGTGTCCCACGTGGCAGCCAATCAATAAACTCCTCCAGCCGGCAAACGGAACTTCCAGGAACAGCTCCCCGCAACCCACCAATCAGAAAGCAGCTGCTCTCGCTCTGCCAATAACAAGGGCTGTGACGGATATTAGCCAATCAGAGCGTAGTATGCTTGAAGAATCGGTATCCATGTTTAATTAGGGCGAAATATTTTCATGAGGGATTAATAACGATGTATATAGGATAGTGACGGAACTCGTGATATTCGCGCATATCGCATGTTACAGAAACACTGTCATTTAGCCATGTACATTCACAGCCCAGGGAAATGCCTGCTTGTGCTTTCTGAATGTTTCATGGAACAAATACGCCATAATGTCACACTAGCGCCCTCTGCTGGACCCAGCCAGGTATAGCGCCAGGTGTCTTTATAAACTCACTACATAGGTCATCAGGGATGGCTTTTAACCTTTCAGTGCAAGTTAAATATTCATTTTCCACTGTCTGATAAGCTCTCTGTCAGGATTATTCAGTAACATGTGAAATACTAGGAATTCAAAGTAAAATTAAACTGAATTACTAAATTTAATCCAAAATAACTCAATTGGAAAAATTAACTATTCTGTTTTTATACTTTCTCCGTACAGCATATTTTTTCTTTTAGTAATTTGTGAGCTGCCATGAAGCTTTGTATGAAATGGTAAGCTGGTATGCGTTTTAACTAGATGCAATGGTGTATTTTGGATTTCTGCTGCCCTAGGGGCTAAATTTGGGCACCGCCAAAATCTATATTTGCCCACCCCAATTTGTGTCAAGGCCACTTTTTTGACTGACAGACACATGCCCTCATTGATACATGCACTGATATACACTCACTGACAGATACACACTGACAGGCACACACTCTCAGATACACATAAAATGACATACACACACTGACACACACTCACAGGCACACCCAGTCTCACTGAAAAACACACACACTTTCACTCATTCACAGACACACACTGACAACTACACTCACTCACAGTAAGGTGGACAGCCCCAGAACACGAGGCAAACAAGGCATTTGTCTGGGAACTTGGGGTGGCATTTATTGGCACCCTCCTTGGAAGTGCCACCTTAGGCAAATGCCTTGTGGTAAATACATCCCTGCCTAGATGCTGTAGCTGCTGTGTGACTTTTCTGTTATCCCTACTGTTACTAGTTTTAGTTTAGTTTTTAGAGAACAGTAATATTTTGTTTGCCGTATTATATCTTTTTTTTCAAGGCCTCCATTTTATATTATCAGTAAAACCAAGTCAAAAGTGATCGACTGGGTTTGGACAATATTTTTTATCTAATTTCACTAGAATTTAATTTTAACAGTCTAAATTCTAGAAACTAAACCCAATGAACAGATCGGCTGCAACAGAAATATGCTCTGTCAAATGTGCACTGTAAGCACATTTCTCAGCTGTTTTTCATAAATAAACCTGTTAGTCATTAGAAAGGAAAATACATTTAAAAACAAAACCTATGGGAGTGAAAATCACTATCACACTAGTAATGGGAAGGTTTGCAACCGCTCCCGTGTCCCCACTCACTATGGTGAGAGTGGAGGAATGTCTGCTAAACAGCGATCATCCAGTAGCTACTAGTGATAAAAAATAAGGCCAGAGACCCATTAGCTAGGAATACATAGGGAGACTTGGTACAAAAGCAGGGGGCGATTACTGTCCCCGCAGGTAGGAGCTATCATTAAAATTAGCAAGGGATATATTAAGTGACCCCCTGTGGTTAGCGGATGAAGGCTCTCGTTTTAATAAAATGTGCACACAATGTTATAGTGAATGCTCAACTGATTGGGCTTAGTTTAGTGTAGCATGCAGTAAGCATAAAATAGGATGCTAAAAGGGTTACTCCTTACTGCATGCTACACTAAACCAGGTACACATGAGTCCTAGAATAAAATAATTCCCAAGCACACCAGTAGTAATTGCACAAAGATAGTTTTTTTTATTTCTTTATTACATGCTTAATAACAAAGTGCAAAATCCTGCATCTTTGTTTTGCATATGTGCACTTTCTTATTATGCATATAATAAAGAAATAAAAAACTCTTTGTGCAATAACTACTGGTGTGCTTGGGAATAATTTTATTCTAATTTTAATAAACCCAGAGGACCTAACCCCCTTCTCCCCCCCCGCCCCCTCACCTCCCCCACAGGCTACACCCATAGGTCGTGGCTCTCAAATTATTGCATGGAAAGACCTCATGCCCCTCTCAACCTTTACCCTTAGGTGGTGGGTAGGGGCTTTACTTAACTGTTAATCTAAAAAACCCTTACCTAGCCCCTCACCATAATAATAGTGACAGGGGGGAGGGAGGGCAGGCATAAACTAAATACCTGTAAATTAAAAATGTTAGCTTACCTTAAGATGTCTTCTTTCTTCTCCAAAACTCAAAATTACTAAATGACAATAACCCCAAACATACTGTCAGAGTTTAAAGAAGAGCAAATAATTATTTTTTTGTAGATGAGTAGTCACACCACATATTGATTTTTTTTCTGTGCACTCACTTTTCACTTTTGCATGCATTTTTTAATTGATAAGAAATTAAGATTTCTAATTTTTTTTTTAAGTAGTCTTACTTTACAGGATTTTTCAATACCTGCCTAAAACATTTGCACAATGCAATACTATATTTATACATATATAGTACGTGGAGGCAGTTACAAGGAATTTGTATTTTAAGCAGAGTGTAACTTGTATACTATATGATTGGTTTTAAAAATTCTAAATGCTCACAGCTGAAGAGTTAAAGTGCTTATTTAAAAGACCAATTTAAAAATGCAGACTCCCCAAGCTCCACAAACAGAACTTCCCCCTTCCCCCTCAAGTTCCAACCATGGAATAACAGGGATGCTTTCATTAAACCCCAGATCACCCAAAACTGAGCCAGGGATTACGCACTGTTCTGGAAAACAGCTGCTGTTACTGACACATCCCCGGTGTTCGTCTCTCACCCCTCCTAGTCTTTGTCTCACTTTTATGATGATAATGTTTAATTTTCTTCATTTCAGCGCTTATCTGCCTGCTATTAAATATAACTCCTTCTGTCTCCTTCCTTCACATTCTCACTCCCCACAGCTCTACTAACATTGCACGCTCGCACCCTTTGGCCTTTCCTCTTGCTCACAAACTTTGCATTCTTTGTTTTTTCACTGACTACTGATATATGTTCCAGTTCTCCTTTTTACTCCCATTGCACATTCCTGGTGCTCTTTCTCTATTTACTTGTTGTGCCACTCACTTCTCCCCTACTGGCATGGTGCTCTTCAACTCACTGATATTATATTTCCTGGGACTCCACTCCCACTGAGTTGTACCTCATTCTGCTTACATTATAACACAGACAGCAGAGCTTCCTAGTATCACTGTCCAGAGATGTTTATTTGTAGCTTTGTCTGCCCACTAAAGGCATAACGTGTCAGTGATATGAGAACAGAGAGGATGTATCCACATTTAGAAACTCATTCCTTTTATCTTCATCATGCCCTTAAACAGTAAGATGGAAATGTAGCACTTTTGCTGCCATATCTTGCCATTCATCTTTCATTATGCACCAGGGTCTATTCACTAAACTCTGAATTGAAGCAAATATGAGACACATGGTAAAATGAAGGCAGTAATACGGACTTGGGGAGTCAACGCACGATCCTGAATGGACACCATTTCAAACAACTTCTCGCCAAACTCTCCAAATCTGCCAAATATCTCCTTTCTGACTCACCATCCACCCTCAAAAACCCGGGCATTGTTACCTGGACACCAAGCTGCATTGACCAATGCCATTACTGCACACACCGTAGCAATCCAAGTCTAAACGCAGAACTGGGGCCTGTTACACCCTGATGCCACGAGGCTTTGAGGCACTCCTTTACGGCTTCCTTGGAGCAAGTAGTCCAAGAGAAACAAAGCAATGGGGCGACGGATGCAAAAGCCCGACAGAGATATCGGAGCAATGCTCCAGAAACCTACCAGATCCAAAACAAAACCAGCGGAGGTTCAACATCCTGCAACAGGGACTACCCCCACAGTGGAGAGTACTGACCAGGATGCCCTGACAGCCCCTGAACCTGAGCAAACCTGAGCCTAGCACACAGATAGCTCAGCTCTTACAACGAAGGGAGACCTCAAAATCCCCCTCTCTGACCTACACAAAATGATGGCGGCAGATCTGGCCCTCCTCAGGACAGAGATTCAGGCCAACACAGACCAAATCAAGGCCTCAGAAGAGGAAATAATAAACGTACAGACCACAGTGAACAACCTCAGTGGCTCAGTCCAACAAATCACTGTTCACCAACACGCATTGTCACTTAGACTGACATGCATTGAAGATCAGCAATGCAGCAACAACCTAAAGATCTGTGGAATCCCGGCCGAAATTGTGGCTGAAGAGATACCTCACCATATTCGGAGGTTACTAGCCTCCTTTCTACCACCATAGGTGGCAAAGAAGATTACCCTAGAGGGTATTTACAGACTAAGTAACACAGCCAGACCCTCTCTAGCATGGGATGTGATCGTACGCTGCACCTCAATGGCAGACAAGATCACCATCATTTCAGCACTACAAGACAAAACACTATTTCCCTTTGAGGATTCTCACCTGTGCTTCTTCCAGGACCTAACAAGAGCAACCTTACAGTGGCGCAGATCCATTGGCCCCGTCACCACCCACCTATGCTCTGCTGGTGTGCCTTACCGGTGGGGGACCCCTGGCTCCCTCGTTATAACTCAAAATGGAATTGTTTTCGATGGTTGATATGTCACAAAGCTAGGTTCCGCTTTACCAAGGAAGGGCCTAGATAGGAGATAGAATAACCGCAAAAGATTATTCAATTTGTGAGAAGTAATCCCTCCCCCAAGACCCGGTAGGTTAGGGGTAATGCCGACACAGACAAAGATGGTTACTTGACTCCTTCACCACAAACACACAGTTTACATTCAGCATGCACCCAACAATAGGATGCAAATCATCTCATATTGTAGCCAGCTGTGCATGTAAATTTGCCCACATGACTACACTGGTAGGATTATGCTATATTATGCGACACTATGCTATTCTAATAACTTGATAACTCTTGCATATAATGCTCCCAACCCTAGGCCACTCGGAATGGCACCGAAATGCACCGATTTAAAACTCTCACACTCCCCTCCGAGTTGCAAAGGGCGTAGATTGCTTGTTACAAAAAAATGAATGCTTGTACTCTGTCATATAATACATTCATTTGTATTTCTGTTTATAATGCCTTATAACGACAAAAAATTCATAATGTTTAACAATACATATGCATTGCAAAAATAAAGAATTATAAAAAAAAAAATAATAATAATAATACGGACTTGGAAAAACAAATCTCAAACTCAGCCATAGTCACAGCTTTTGTAAATTTTGCAATTCATTTTAAAATTTATTCAATGACTGACCTCCTCGATATACTGGGAACATACTCCTCTCTCTCTCCTTTTGTTCTGCAATTATTGAGGGTTACCCCCTATTCTGTTCCTATAGATTCTAGGACATTGATGTTCTGGGCACTTTTAATTATTTATTACTTATTTCTCTAGGTTTCAATACCATTTCTGGCCCCTTTACTTGATTATTTATACTATACACCATTATAATTCTTTAATATATACGTCTTTTAGTGTCAATTTATTCAATGATGACCTCCTCGATATACTGGGAACAGGCTCCTCTCTCTCTCCTTTTGTTCTGCAATTATTGAGAGTTACCCCCTATTCTGTTCCTATAGATTCTAGGACATTGATGTCCTGGGCACTTTTCATTATTCATTACTCATTTTAAAATTTGCTACAATTTAGACTTTAGTGAATAATCCCCGAAGTGTTGGCTCCATCATATATTATATCTGAGTAACATTAGTAAGGAAAAACAGTATAGACAGGGTAGATCCATGATGCCCATATGGTCCTTCTATTAAATATGGGCAGCATTAGCACATCCTGATATTATTATTTGTGTCTATATTACACACTTCTTTAAGTCTTTTCTCTTTGTCACAATGACTGTACAAACTTGTGTGTATCACAATTTTACCATACATATTGCTTCCTTTAAACAAATTCTCCATACAGGCTCTATCCTGTAATACAAAATCAATCTGCATGCTACATTTTCTACCAAAACTCACCAAGCATGGCTGTGTCATGTCACCAACTCACCATGCATGGCTACATCTTGCTCTTTGTACCACAAACCCACCATTTATTGCTTCAGTCTGTAGCACCACTTCCCCAAAGAATGGCTGAATCTAGTGCCACCACATCCAGTACCACCACCTTCCCAAGAATGGCTCCATCCAGTATCACCATCTACCCAAGAATGGCTGCATCCAGTACCACCATCTCACAAGAATGGCTCCATCCAGTACCACCATTTACCGAAGAATGGCTCCATCCAGTATCACCATCTACCCAAGAATGGCTCCACCCAGTATCACCATCTACCCAAGAATGGCTGCATCCAGTACCACCATTTACCCAAGAATGGCTCCATCCAGGACCACCATCTACCCAAGAATGGCTGCATCCAATACCACCATCTCACAAGAATGGCTCCATCCAGCACCACCATTTACCGAAGAATGGCTCCATCCAATACCACCATCTACCCAAGAATGACTGCATCCAGTACCACCATCTTCCAAGAATGGCTGCATCCAGTACCACCTTCTACCCAAGAATGGCTCCATCCAGTACCACCATCTCCCAAGAATCACTGCATCCAGTACCACCATCTCCCAAGAATGGCTCCATCCAGTATCACCATCTCCCAAGAATGACTGCATCCAGTACCACCATCTACCCAAGAATGGCCCCATCCAGTACCACCATCTCCCAATAATCACTGCATCCAGTACCACCATCTCCCAAGAATGGCTCCATCCAGTACCACCATCTCCTAAGAATGACTGCATCCAGTACCACCATCTCCCAAGAATGGCTGCATCCAGTACCACCATCTCCCCTCAAATAGATGCACCCTGTACACCCTGTAGTTTACAGTGTATGCACTTTCATGCGTAGATCACTGTCATTGTTCCTCTCAATGTATCATACACTTACTAAACATGCTGCCTACAATGCATCACTATTGCACAGACTGCTATCACACCATACTGATCCACTGTTCTGGAAACGGTGGGACTCCTTGTTCCCTTATGCCACACACAAACAAATATTCTTGTTCTGTCTAACATTATGTAACATGCACCTTATTATCAGTTTATTTTCCATTTACATATGTGTCTTCCAAAGGTTTTTGTGCAAATAAAATAATTTTTTATACTTACCAAAATAACAATCACATTAGGTTTGAGCCACAATGTTGTCAATATAATACTTATATTTCCATTACAAATCCAGCTCCCATCAGGATGCACTGAAAACAAAGAAAAGGATAAATCGGCACACATCATCCTTGCAAAACCGAGTGATATGCGGGTACACTATAGGCCAATACTTGGAACAATATCTGAACAATGTGATCACACATACCTCATGTCACATTTCCCCCACCAATATATAGTGTATATTAAACTCCCTTCTTTCCACTTCACAGGCTGATGGGGAGATGTATATGGCTGTTTCCAGTAAGTGAAACATTTCTATCTGAATTCCATGGGATAACTGGTCTCCATTATCTGTCTCCAGAGAGCAGCAATACTTTATTAGAGGGACTGGATACAATGTAATCACAGCGATTAGACTAAAGCACTAACTTAGGCCCAAAGTCAGTTCTGCATTCCAGGCCAGTACTGTGCCAACACCAAGCATCACATCGCATGTACACAGAAAATGTCTATTCATTAATAGTCAGAGTTGTATGAACGTATACAAAGTGCACTGACTAAAGTATGAACATGACTATTTTAAATTGATCCCCGAAAATAATCACAGTGTATCACAATAGTAAAACAGTTTGAGATATATTTTGTTCCAAGCAATGTAACCTACGACGGTGAGATGCAGAAAAGAAGTGTCAATATTATCACAGTAGCTTTCATGCTGATTTTTGAAGGATTCAATCAGTGAAACATTAATAACCGGCTTGGCATTTTACCAGTATCTATGGAGGATATGATGCCATCAGAGGCTGGGGTGAGGAAGGTATACCACTCTGCTTTTATTAAAAGGCAGCTGGCAGGATATTATTAAACTAGTCAAAATCAAATTGGAACCTAATCTGCTTAAAGAAACTCTCAAAGCACCAAATTACTACAGTCCACTATATTGGTTATGGTGCCAGCAGTGCTCTAGAGCCTGCCCAGAGTAACTTACTTGGGTCTCGCCTAACCCACCCTGTCCAGGTGAATCCGGTTATCTCCACTGAGCTAAGCAGGGCCATGCTCATTGGCTAAGGGTGTCACCTGAGCAGTGACATACAAACAGTAAGGATCTCCCAGGCTTATCTCATTGAAAACAACCAGCTTTGTTGTCATTCTGGGATTTGGGTAAGTTGTCAATCAATTCTAAAACAATTTGATAAATTATTCTGGAAGATGCTCCCGACACCATAACCTCCATAGTGGAATTTAGTGATTATGGTGCTTTATTTTTAAAATAAATTAAATAACTCCTCACATTAACAAAACAGTTACAGTAAAAAAAGTGGCTCAAACTTGTTTATTTGTAATGTAGCTTAAATAGCTTCTCAAACATACAGAATAGGAGCAGTGTCTCTTTAAAGTGAGACAATAGTCACAAGTACACCTTTAACTTAATGAATCCATTTTGGTGTATAGATCATACCCCTGCCGTCTCACTGATCAATTATCTGCTGTTCAAAAGTTAAATCAGTTTTTTATACAGCCCTGGTTACATAGTTACATAGCTGAAAAGAGACTTGCGTCCATCAAGTTCAGCCTTCCTCACATATGTTTTTGCTGTTGAAAAGAAGGCAAAAAACCTAGTCTCAAGCGCTTCCAATTTTGCAACAAACTAGGAAAAAATTCCTTATTGACCCCAAAATAGCAGTCAGATGTCTCCTTGGATCAAGCAGCTATTACCCCACTAATTAGAAATTCTATCCCTGTATGTTATGTTTTTGCAAGTTTTTATCCAATTGCAGTTTAAACATCTGCATAAACTCTGACAAAACCACCTCTTCAGGCAGAGAATTCCATATCCTTATTGCTCTTACTGTAAAAAAAACCTTTTCTTTGCCTTAGATGAAATCTCCTTTCTTCCAGCCTAAATGTATGACCTTGTGTTGAATAGATTTCCAGATAAAGGTTTATACTGGCCCTGAATATATTTGTATAATGTTATCATATCCCTCTCAGGCGCCGTTTTTCCAAACTAAACAGATTTACATTTTTTAACCTTTCTTCGTAACTAAAATGGTCCATTCCTTTTATCAATTTTGTAGCTCGTCTCCCTACTTTTTCTAGTGACATGATATCTTTCTTTAGAAGAGGTGCCCAAAATTGCAAAGCATATTCAAGGTGTGGTCTTATCAACGATTTATAAAGAGGCAAAATTATATTTTCATCCTGAGAATTTATGCCCCTATTTATACATGACAAAACCTTACTGGCCTTAGCAACTGCAGATGGACATTGCATATTTCTGTTTAATTTGTTGTCTATAACAATTCCAAAATCCTTCTCGTGTGTGGTTATCCCTAATTCACTACCATTTAGGGTGTAAATTGCTTGTGCATTCTTAACCCCGAAGTGCATAACTTTGCATTTCATCTGCCATTTTAGTGCCCAGTCCCCCAATCTATCCAAATCCCTCTGCAGCAAAGCAATATCCTGCTCATATTTTATTACTTTACAAAGTTTTGTGTCATCTGCAAACGCTGATACATGGCTTTCAATGCCTATTTCAAGATCATTTATAAATATGTTAAATAAAAGCGGTCCCAAAACAGAACCCTGAGGGACACCACTTACCACTTTTGTCCAGCCTGAAAATTTACCATTAATGACAACCCATTGTACTCTATCCTTAAGCCAATGTTCTACCCAACAACAAGAATATTCATCTAGACCAATTTCTTTTAGTTTGAAGTCTAACCTACTGTGAGGAACCGTATCAAATGCCTTGGCAAAATCCAAGTAGATCACATCCACTGCAACACCCTGATCTATACTTCTTCGTAGAATGCAATTAGGTTAGTTTGACATGACCTGTCTTTCATATCTCCTCTGCATGTTACTTACACAACCTTCCTAAACACTTCCTGTAAAGAATGTTTAAACTTCCTTTATTGCACATTTTGCTTAATTTTGAATTTCTCATTTCCTGCTCTGTTGATAGCCTGCTAAACCCTACAGGAGACTCCTGTGTGTAATTAAATTTCAATTTCATTCTATACACCAAAATTGCTTCATTAAGCTAAAGTAGTTTTGATGTCTCCAAACACAAACATTCTATGACATTTCTCTAACCCAGCATTTTCCCAATTGGTGTTCCGCAGAACCCTAGAGTTCTGCGAGAACGAAATTGGGGTTCCGCTGTGAAATTGGGGTTCGGGTGGCCCTCAAGGCATTGCTGCAAAGGGAACCGGTCAGCGCCGCGGCCGTTTCATTGCGCGACCGGATCCCCATAGTATGGGATGCTGGGAGAAAGTAACGGATGGACGGTCATTTCCACCCAGCTTCATATAGAAAACTCTGCTCTGGAGGCAGAGAGGCAGCAGCCAGCAGTGAGCAGCAGAGGCGGCTCTCTAATTAGGTGTTTTAGGCGGCCGACTAAGGCCTTGCGCTGGCTGGGACCCATCACCAGTAGGGGGCCTGGCAGCTTGCCCAATATGCCGCCGGGTTCAAGGCCCCTCCTGTCTGCCCGGCCACCATCATAGACACCGGTCTGCAGCTCTGCAGTGAGCAGAGCTGCAGACCATGTGTCTCGTGAAAACTGGCCAATCAGAGCATTGCTGCTGGGTAACCACGGCAATCCTCTGACAGGTCTCGCGAAATACATGGTCTGCAGCTCTGCGGAGCTCCAGACCAGAATTAATGGCCACTGGACCACCAGGGAGCCCACCGGACCACCAGGGTTAAATTAAGGTATGTGGTACCCTCTCCCTCTAACATCACCCCTTCACCATCACCTCCCCTCCCTCAGCATCATCCCCCTCCCCCAGCATCATCCCCTCCCTCACCATCAACCCTCCTCCCTCACCATCACCACCCCTTAGCATCACCCCCCTCACCATCAACTCCCCTCAGTCACATCAACCCCCCTTCCTTTCCTTCACCCCCCCTCAGCATCAACCCCTCCCTCAACCCTCCCTCAGCATCAACCCTCCTCCCTCAGCATAACCCCCACTCACCATCAACGCCCCTCCCTTAGCATCACCCCCTCTATCAGCATCACCCCCCCTCACCATCAACCCCCCTCCCTCACCATGCATCCAGACTCACATTAACCACTCCTAATGCTGTTAATCTCACCCCCTCCAAACTCACCTGCCCTCACTCTGCCACACTCACCCTGTCACATTAACCCCCCTTAATCCTGTCACACTCGTCCCTCCTACCATGCCACAATTGCCATGACACGCTTACCTCCACTTGCCCTGTCACACTCCCTCATCAAACCATGTCATACTCCCTGTCCCTAATTCTCTCTCACAACCCCCCTTGTCCATTTCCCCCCTTCGCCACTGGTACCCCTTTACTCACCTTGTCACAGTCACCAGCTGAAGACATCATACACACACAGTCAAGAAACATAGCTTTGCCATAAACACAATGCACAAAGGCTACAGGCAGACCCCCATACACACAACACACGTCAAGCAAACATGTGCACAGAGACCTACATTCACACACACACACACACACACACACACATCACTGTGTATATGTGTCAGTGTGCAAGTATTGCAACTCTATTTTTTTCACTTTTTTGTTACTGGGGCCTCATGTTTGCGTTTCGCCTAAGGCCTCATAAAGTCTAGAGACGTCTCTGGTGAGCAGCTCCCCCCCCCACACACACACACAGTGACGGATCCAGAGCCTGATCTCGGGAGGGGCACTTGTAGATTATTTAAAGAAATAATCAAGGCACAATAACCACTACAGCTCAGTGTAGTAGTTATGGCGCCAGTAGTGCCAGGATCCCATCCCAGAGTAAGTAGTCAAACCGTTTAAGAACAGCTTGACAACTTACCTGGGGTCTGCTGGGATATAGGGCATAGGAGCAGTGGTATGTGTTAGGGGTGAAGTGTGTGTGAAAGGTGCAGTGTGTGTGTGAGCGGTGAAGTGTGTGTGCGAGTGCGTGAGGGTGGCAGTGTAGGTCAGGGTTGCAGTGTGTGTGTTAGGGGGCAGTGTATATGTGGGGCAGTGTGTGTGTGAGAGAGCTGCAGTGTGTGTGTGTGTGTGTGTGTGTGAGCGGTGCAGTGTGTATGGCAGAGTTGCAGTGTGTTTGGGGCAGTGTGTGTTTGGGGGGCAGTGTTTGTGGGGCAGTGTGTGTATGGGGAGCAGTGTGTGTATGGGGCAGTGTTTGTGGGGCAGTGTTTGTGGGGCAGTGTGTGTAGTGTGTGTATGGGGGCAGTGTGTGTATGGGGGCAGTGTGTGTAGTGTGTGTATGGGGGCAGTGTGTGTATGGGGGCAGTGTTTGTGGAGCAGTGTGTGTAGTGTGTGTATAGGGCAGTGTTTGTGGGGCACTGTGTGTAGTGTGTGTATGGGGGGCAGTGTTTGTGGGGCAGTGTGTGTAGTGTGTGTATGGGGGCAGTGTTTGTATGGGGGGGGAAGGAGGGTAGGGAGGCTTTTTAAATTTAATTTAATTTAAATAAATATATTGATTACCTTTACTGAGGGTGGAGGGGGGACATATTTCGATCCCTGGTGGTCCGTTGGGGATTCCCTGGTGGCCCAGTGGTAAGAGTGAACTCTAGCCCATAGCTCCAGGGCTAGAGTTCACTCTCGCGAGATTTGGAGCGTTGCCGTGGTAACCGCGGCAACGCTCCATGCTCGCGAGAGGAGGACCCGGAGGAGCTGCAGGCTGAGCTCCCGGGTCCTCTCTCCCTCCCTCCCCTGCCGGCTGTCAGCACGGTGCTTGCGAACCGGGGAGGGAGATCTCTGATCTCTGATCTCCCTCCCCGGTCCGCAAGCACATTGCAGGGCTGGCACTTGGACAATGCGAACCCTGCATTAGCCGGCAGGGGAGAATCTCGGGTGGGGGCAATTGCCCCGTTGCCCCCCCCCCCAGATCCGCCACTGCACACACACACACACCAGCCTCAGCCAGCAAGTCACCCTCCTGCAGACAACAGGTATGCTAACAGGAGGGTGACTGCAAATATAAAAAATGGCATGTGTGTGTATTTGATAGTGTGTGTGTATCTGTGTGAAATCTCTGTGTCACTATGTGTATGTGTCACTGTGTGTATCTGAGTGTGTGTATTAATGTGTCATTGTGTGTATCTGAGTGTGTGAATCTGAGTGTTTGTATCTGTGTGTCAGTGTTTCTGTCACCGTGTGTATCTAAGTGTGTGTATGTGCCATTGTGTATCTGTGTGTATGTGTCACTGTGTTTACCTGTGTCAGTATGTATCTGAGTGTATGCGCCAGTGTGTGTATCTGAGTGTCACTGTGTGTATCTTTCGGTGTTTGTGTGTATGTGCCAGTGTGTGTGTGTGTATGTGCCTGTGTGCGTATCTTTCAGTGTATCTGTGTGTCGGTGTGCATTTATCTGTGTGTATCTGAGTGTGTGTATCTGTGTACCACTATGTGCCAGTGTGTGTGTGTGTGTGCCAGTGTGTGTATTTGTGTGTCAGATTCATACACACTGACACACAGATACACACACTGGCACATACAAACACAGATATACACACCTTGATACACAGACACACCGACACATACAAAAACAGATACACATACTTGGGCACAGAGATAAACACACTTTGACACAGAGATACATACAAACACACTCACACGGCTACACACTGTGTGTCAATGTGTGTGTACCAGTGTGTCAAGGTGTGTGTACCTGTGTTTCACTTTGTGCCAGTGTGTATATCTGTGTGCCACTTTGTGCCAGTGTGTGTATCTGGGTGTCAAGGTGTGTGTATCTGTGTGCCACTATGTGCCAGTGTGTGTATCTGTGTGTCAGATTAATACACACTCACACAGAGATACACACACTGGCATATTCAAACACACATACACACACCTTGATACACAGACACACACCGGCACATACAAACACAGATAAACACACTTTGACACACACAACTTGACACACAGATAGATAGATACATACATACACACACACACAGATACACACTGTGTGTCAAGGTGAGTGTATCTGTGTGTCAAGGTGTGTGTATCTGTGTGCCACCATGTTATTTTCTTTTGCAAATGGTATGCGATCATGGGGGTAATTCTCATTCCTGGGCTACCATATGCTCTCAAAGGAAACAAAACCAATCTGACAAATTTAAATGTGAAAAAAATAAAAATCAAGCCTTATATTTGATCCTGTAACTTTCAAAAACACTATAAAACCTGTACATAGGGGGTACTGTTATACTCTGGAGACTTTGCTGGACACAAATATTAGTGTTTTAAAACAGTAAAACATATCACAACAATGATATCATCAGTGAAAGTGCTGTTTGTGTGTGCAAAACGCAAAAAATGTCTCTTTCACTGACAATATCATCGCTGTGATATGTTTTACTGTTTTGAAACACTAATATTTGTGTTCAGTGAAGTCTCCCGAGTAAAACGGTACCCGCCATGTACAGGTTTTATAGTGTCTTGGAAAGTTAAAGGGTTTTAAATATAGTGCTAGCAAATTAAATTCCCTGGACTTTCAGCCTGGGTTGTCAGGCAGGTCCCTCAAATTGCAATGAATAAAATTACTTAATTATGTAAAAAAAAATTAGATAAATATGAATTTTTAAATAGAATTTAAAAATATACACATATTTATATATTTGAAGTCTATGTGTATATTTGTATTTATGTAATTATATTATATATATATATCGCATTATTTTTATTTATTTACATATACATACATATATATATATATAATTTCATTCTAAGTGTATTTTGATATAAATGTATATATTAATGTCAAAATACATTTAGAATAAAATTACATATATACATATATATAATTTAAAAAAACCTTTTTTATTATTTTTACATTTTTAAAATTTATTTTTAATTATTATTTATTTTTCATAATAATATATGTATACAATATATATCGTTATTATATATATTATATATATACATGTGTAATTTTACTCTAAGTGTATTTCTATATTAATAGTATGACGTTATATATAAGATATATACATATTATATATAGATATAATATATGTATATATTTTATATATATACATATATTATTATTATTTTTTGATTTAATTTAAAAATATATATATTTTACAGATGCAGGGAGACTGCCTGTCAGTTCAGGCAGTCCCCCTGCAGGCAGCACTATGGACCTATTGCGGCCATGTTACTGCTCTTTCAGAGCAATCACATGGCCTGTGGGGGCCTAATTTGCAGAGAGGGGACTGTCTGGGCTGTCAGGCAGTCCCCCCAGACCGGGAGCAACACCGATCACCGGCGGGGGGAATGGCATCGATCAGGTAAGTACTAAGGAATACCGCGGACGTACCAGGTACATCCATGGTCCTTAAGGACTGTTTTTGTAAGACGTACCTAGTATGTCTGCGGTCCTCAAGGAGTTAATGAGCCTTGGGCACCCTGACACTGGTTCACCGGTTGTCTTTCCTTGCACCACTTTTGGTAGGTACTACCCACTGGGTACCAGGAACACCCGCAAGACTTGCTGTTTTGCAGATGTTCTGCCCCAGTTATCTACCCATAACTTTTTGGCCCTTGTCAAAATCACTCAAATCTTTTTGCGTGCCAATTTTTACTGCTTCCAACGGGTGAAATTCAAGAACTGATGTTCACTTGATGCCTAATATATCCCACCCCTTGACAGGTGCCATTGTAACAATATAATCAATGTTATTCACTTCGTCGGTCAGGGGTTTTAATGTTGTGGCTGATCAATGTATCATAAACCAAAAATATTAGAAAGCAACAGTAATGGCAAACATACTGCATTTGTATAAAATATTTTTGCTACTGAACTGAAATGCTAAACTCAGCTCCTATTAAATACAATATGAACTCAAGTGTGCCCCATGCCAAAAAAATCAAAGATGCTGAAAGCAAGTTTATTGAGCAATTTTACCTGACATTGGTACACTAAACTGTAAGATGAGTAAATAAATCTCCAGTTGTATAATTGGAATAATTACAATACAGTGACATGGTTTAATAATCAATCATTTTATTTATAATGCCATATGGATATTCATAATGAGAACTTTGGAACCTGAAATGGTTAAAAGCATATATAAATGTTCTACAAACCTGGTACATCTCCTTGTAGATGTACCTATTTCTAAATGAGCTTGTTGAGCAATCATAGACTTCTTCAAACTTCACATCTTACTTCACTGACAAGATTGTTGGAATCTTTGTCAATTGTAACTCTCCATTCAACTAGCGCACTATCCCTCTATTACCATTTGCTTCTAAGACTTTTTGAGAGTGTTGTGCATACCAGACTGACTAACTCCCTTGTATGTAACTCCCTGCTTTACCCAACTCAGTCTGCCTTTGAGCTCATTATATTGAGACAGCTCTGACTAAAGTGACCAATGACCTAATTGCTCCAAAATCCAAGGTTAATTTCTCTGTGCTAATTCTCCTTGATCCTTCTGCTATCAGCACTTTCAAGCATCAATAATTTCTAATCATCCTTCAAAACCTCAACCAACATGATTCTCCTCTCCAAGTGCTTTTTTAGTGACTCCTTTTTTTAGTGTATCAACTCTAAACTCTTCAACCTATCTCTCTCAGTGTTCTCCAAGGTTCTCAATTCATAATGACTCTCTTTGTAAACAAATCAGTTCCTTTGTTTTCCAGTGTCGCCTTAATCCCGACCGGTTCATATCAACCTGTCTTCTCTTGATCTTTCACTGTCCCTCTTGAATTATCTCCAACTGCTTCTTTGCCATTTCTGACAGGATGACATCTTAGTTCATGAACTCAATCTCTTTAAAACAGATATTTTCAAATTTGATATTTTAAATGCCTTAATGTCAGTCTTTCTGCGGGTTAATGGTGCTACTAACAATTCTACCCCACAGGCTTGCTGTCTTTGCATCTCTGACATCCATCACTACCTATTACTGGATGCAGATATGATGTTCATCCATGCCACAATAACCTACCATCTACATCAACATGGGACAGTCTGATCTTACATATACTATAGCAAGAGTCATCTTCTTTTCATCTCGAACCTCCCTCTCTTCCCACTTCTTGGTGGCATTATCCTAAACTAGCTATTTTGGCCTCAATTTTACAATTTAGTTTTCAATATGTAATTTGGTTTGGTAAGCTGTCCCAGTCCTCTATAGTGTTCATTCCTCTCTCTTAGCAATCTTTGTATTCTCTCTCTCATTAGCGTTTGTCTTCTTCCTCTGTTTTTCTCTCCAAGCTTGATGTCTCTATGTTCGGCAGATTATTCAATGAAGTGAGAATTGTTGGGAATTCAAAGAGAATTTTTAATTTAAAGTCAAAATAGCAGAGCTGGAAAAAATGCAAACTCAGTAATGCTAAGTTTGGCTACTTTGAACTTAAATTTGAAATTAATTTTGAATTCACAACAATTCTCACTTTAGTGAATAACCCTGTCAGTGTCTCTTTTATTTTCTCACTCTTCCCTGTCTATTCATTCATTAAACGGTGAACTAAACATTACTTGCAACATTTAGACCAGAAGAGAAGAGTTGGACAAAGCCTCCATCTCAACACAGCTATTTTGACATGCGTTTTTGAAGTGGAAAAATCAATTAAAGTATTGATTATTTCTTTGTGTATCTGCCCCTGGCCAAATCAATGAAACTATGCGTGCACGCTCCCTGAAGTAATTCACACCAGACACAGGTTCTAGGTTGTTGAATAACTTGAGGAAAGTTTATTCAGAGGGGACGGCAAGTCCCTTTTAAAGCAAAATTACATCATATGCATTGTCAGAGATAACATGGAATAATACATCAATAATTGGTTAGGTGTTAAGTGGTTGCTCTAATGCTCTGCCTACTGCAGGTGATGTCACCGGGACCATGAGGGTCTCCCACGGTTTTCCGGCGCCATCTTGTTACACGAGGTAGTTAGTCGATGTTTAAAAAGGGAGGGGAGGGGAAGGAGGGGTTAGAAGCTTCTAGCAGCCATCTTGATTGAAATATGTGTACTTAGCTTTATATGTGAGATATATATATATATATATTGTAAAATGAGTAAATAGACATTTTCCTTTAACTAGGAAATATGTGTAGACCTTATTTCCACAACAGTCCCCCCTAAAATGGCTATTTACCATTACAACTGCTGCTGTCCCTAATATGTCCCTAGTTGCCCGCAACCTATCTGCCTTGACAAGCATCGAACACTTCACTCCGCGGGTATCCCGCAGTGGCTAACCCACTACATCTCCACACGTGAGACTCACCTGTCAAGACAGACGCTTTCCCTACTCTATCCCTACAAAAAAGCAGTTGTCTGTTTAAACTGATGTGTTTGTAGGGGTGTATGTGGGGTGTCATCTTCAAGGTCTGTGATATCCTGATGTATGAAGGTAGGGGTCACATTATCTACAGTCTTATCTACCGCTTTCTGCAGATATTTCTGTATACAGGGGAGTATACAACAGGCTGAGAACAAAAAGATAATGAATACCATGAGAACAGCTGTCCCTACCTGAAAGAGGGTCTTTTGCCAGCCATTCATCCACCCAAACCATTTGTCCCATATGTCAGTGACTCCCGAATTCTTCTTTAATTCGTCTGCAAGACTATCTAGCTTTTCTATGGCCATAGTCACTTTACCATTGGGCCCCGTGTTATCTGGAATGTATGTGCAGCATGTCATGGTCTCAGGGAGGATTTTACATACTCCCCCTTTTTCGGCTAGAATCATATCTAGGGCCATTCTGTTCTGAAATGTCATTTGGCTAGTGGCTTGTAGTTGCTCTGCCAGGCCCTGTAGGGCATCCCTTGTGTAGTTGACAAAGCGTTGCTGATTATAATAGATATAGTTAATCCAATTGACATTCTTGTTAGCAGTTATCATTGGGATTAGGGACTCAAACCCTGCAGCCACTTCATCTCTTGCTTTAAATTCGTTAGGCACCCCCCTTGGCACACCTATGGCATCAATATACACATGGGGGTCGAAACTCCCTCGAATAGGGGTCTCTCGTTTGGTTCTAGAGTGTATATGTGTGAGGTTAAGCGTGTTATGGTCACCATCTGGAATGATGTGGATAGGCATTATGACTTTGGTTAGGGCACACTCCCCCCACCATTGGCCAGCTAATTGGGGCCTTAATTGTTTGTCACCACATAACCAATAGATATCACCGATTGTCTTTGTGTGATTCATTAGCAGTGATACAGGTGGACTATGGTAAGTTGAGCAGTATCCTGATGGGAATTTGCCCAGATACAAACCAGTGTTTTCTGGTATTGAATAGCATGTGTAATTACCTGGGTAGATGGTGACTCCATCGGGTGGTTTCACATGTCCGTGAGTGATTGGGTAAATCTTCTTCCAGGATTCACATGTTGAGGAGTTAGTGGTGGATTGTGCATACAAACTCAGTACACATAATTCTATTTCAGGAGGTAAACTCAGAGGTACTGTACCCAGATGGGGTCTGGCACCTCCGCATACATAACAATTAGTCTTATTGTGTGAGTTGGCGTTGTACCTCATCCATTCTAGCCATAAATTGGTATCTGAAAACCCTGTTTCTACTGCCATGGTATCTTCAAAGGTGGGGTTGGCTATGGCTACCATGTCATGTAGGGTTTTGATGTGTGGTTTCAATGGGTTAATGACCATATGTGTGGTTCCCACCCAATCAGAGGAATTTAGCATATCTTGCAAGTAAAAGGTCCCTAATGCGTTATGTGAGCCACCTCCCTTCCAGTACATTCCCATCACATACTCCCCTGCATCCCTTGGACTAGGGTGTTCTATGTTTAAGGTGAGTTTAATGGGAGTTGACCCTATGGGTTTACTCAGGGTCATTCTAGAGAGCAAGGGTTTCCCGTCTTTGTCAAGCTTGTCTAATGCAACTTGGGGTCTGTAGCCCCATGGTCTACCTGTGTTCCACCCGGCAGCTTTCCATGAACTACAATGGTGTCCCCAACCTTCGCCAGTCACACAAATGTATGGATCCTTTTTGTTAGGTATGTCCTTATATACAGCTGCATGTTGTGCTTGTGGAAATGTACAAGTAACTATGTCACAATAGTCAAAGGTGTATGTAGCCACATCAGTATTAGAAGAATTGTACCAAAAAGTGTAAACATGGTTATCTTTGGTTATGGCCACTTGTTGGGCCCATGCAAAATGTAGCAGCATAAGAAAACACAAGACACATAATAAATTCATTTTTCAACAGGATCAGACTCTTCTGGAGCAGGCACTTTTTTGCAATGTGAAGCGTGTATCCAAGAACTCTTCCCAGCTAGTTTAACTGACGTTGCTGTAATCAGGAGTACTTGGTAAGGACCATCAAATCTCGGTTCCAGGGTGTGTTTTCTGAGAAACTTCTTAACCATAACCCAGTCACCTGGAAGCAGCTTGTGTGTACCTGTGTTCGACTCAGGATCTGGAATAGAAGAAAACACTTGTGCATGTATCTTGGTCAAGGCATGTGAGAGGGCTGTCACATAATCTACCATAGCATCTGACTGGATCTGAAGTTGTTGGGGAAAGTAACAACCTAACCTAGGTGCTGTGCCAAACAAAATTTCATAAGGTGACAGGCTGTATTTTCCCCTAGGAGTGTACCTTACACTAAACAATGCTAATGGGAGACTCTCGGGCCAAGGCATGTTAGTTTCTTGTGACATTTTAAGCATTCTGGCTTTCAGAGTGCCGTTCATGCACTCTACCTTACCACTACTCTGTGGGTGATATGGAGTGTGGAATGCAAGGGTCACCCCCAGTGCTGACCAGACTTCCCGTGTTAGCGAGGCAGTGAAGGAGGTTCCTTGGTCACTCTCAATTACTTCTGGAACCCCGTAACGGCAAACAATTTCTGTCAAGAGATACTTAGCTGTTGTCCTCGCGGTGAGGTTAGTCACTGGGAAGGCCTCTGGCCATCCTGAAAACATGTCCACTATGACCAGTGCATATTCATGGCGTCCGCTCTTTGGCATCTGAATATGGTCAATCTGAATCCTCTGAAAGGGGTATTGTGGCTTGGCTAGGTGATTAGGTGCAGTCTTTATGATCTTTCCAGGGTTGCACTTAGCACATATAGTACAAGATTTGCAATAATTCTGTGTTAAGGTAGTGATGCCTGGTGCTTCAAAATACTTGTCAATCAGTGAATTCATCAGGAGCTTTGATAGGTGGGCTGGCCCATGGGCCCATTGGACCACCGCTGGGTACATACTTCTAGGTAGACAGAACTTGAGATTAATAGTGTAAACTTCATCACGGAGTATTGCTCCTTTGTTCTTCCAACTCTGTTTCTCCTGAGGAGTGGCAGCAACTTGCTGTTCCTTCAGCAGCCTGAGGTCTGTAGGCAATGTTTGCATAGTATAAATTGGTAATGCATCTGTGGCCACTCTTCTGTCCACTTCCCATCCTTGTCGTGCTGCCTCTTTGGCTGCCTGATCAGCCAGGCTATTGCCACGTGCTTCTTCTGTGTCTAATCTTCCATGAGCTTTTACTTTCAATACTGCCACTTCTGCTGGGAGTTCCAATGCGTCCATCAGTTCTGCAATGGCTGCCCCATGCTTTACTGGGGTACCGGTAGCTGTAAGGAATCCTCTGGTCTTCCAGATTAAGCCAAAATCGTGTGCCACTCCCAGGGCATATCTTGAGTCCGTATAAATGTTGACTCGTAGGCCTTCGGACAGTTTGCAGGCCACAGTCAAGGCTATTAACTCGGCCTCTTGGGCAGATTTAGTTGGTTGTAGGGCAGCTGCTTGTAATATTTGACATCCTGTGGTAACTGCATATCCAGTGTGGTATTGTCCTTGTTCGTCAGCAAACCTTGAGCCATCCACAAATAGTGTCTGATCCGGGTTGAGTAATGCAGCTTCATAAACAGTTGGTAGGTGTGTAGTTTCCATTTTCATTTGTTCAAAACAGTCGTGAGGGATATCAATAAGGTCGCAGTCTATGGTGGGTGGGTCCTCACAGGCCTCTATGTGGTACCTGGAGTGTCCTGTTGTGTAGTAGTTAATTGTCTTTTTATTTATTCCTGCAGAAGTCAGTTGTTCTGGAGTCATTTGGTTCCAAGTTTTGGCCTTCGGGCCTAGGGTCTCCCATGTGATGTCGTGGGATCTGGTGAGAGGTATGTGTGGGATAGCTGTTTCCCAATGGTGGTAGAGGTGTACTGCATTGTCTGGAAGATGTACCAGAATGAGCATGGTACCTGTGGAGTCCCAAAACAAGTCAGTCAAGGTAATTTGGATGTCTTTGAGCTGAAATAGTTCTTCCTCATAGTCCACGTCAGGGTTTGGTGTGTCCCTAAACCACAAGACACAGTGGAGTAGGGCCTCTGATTGTTCATCATCAGGGGAAGGTGTAAACACAGGCAATTGTAAATCTGCTCGGACCTCTGGGTTGATGTCCAGGCTGTACCAGTGATGCACTATTCCCCCCTTGGGAAGTGGCAGAAGAGTGGCTGGGTTCAGGGAAAGGCATCTCTGGAGTTTCACATTGTCAGGTAGGAGTAAGGATGTCTGTAGGCGAAGGTGGCGTTGTGAAGAAAGGTGTTTTGGGCGGATCTGCTGTAAGATTGCAGTAATATCGTGAGGGGCCAACACTGTGAGGTGATGGCCAAGAACAAAGTCATTGGACTTGTCCAGGAGAGCACTGGCGGCGAACACCGCTCGGAGGCAAGAGGGGCTACCCCTTGCAACAGGGTCAAGCATGCAGGAAAAATAGCCAATAGGGCGTTGTCTTGAGCCATGTTTTTGGGTGAGGACTCCGGAAGCATGTCCTGATTTTTCAGAGACAAAAAGGTTGAAGGGAAGTTGGTAGTTCGGTAGGCCCAAGGCAGGTGCAGAAGCAATAGCTCTTTTCAGAGTGCGGAAACAGATGATAGTTTCTTCTGTGAGATGGAAAGGTTCGCTCCTGAGGGCATCATAGAGTGGCTGCATGAGTTTTGATGCTTCGGGTATCCAGGACCTGCAGTACGTGATTAGACCCAGGAAAGCATGGAGAGCTTGGTGGGTAGCAGGTAGTGGAAGAAGCAGAATGGCTTGTACACGTTGGGAGGTGAGATGTTTGGTGCCATGGGAAAGGCAGTGTCCCAAGAAGACCACAGAGGGCCGGCACCATTGTAACTTGGATTTGGAGGCTTTGCAACCAGCAGCAGCAAGAAAACATAGGAGGTCTTCTGAATCACGCTCCGCAGTGAGTAAATCAGGAGCACAGAGAAGGAGATCATCAACATATTGAAGCAGGACGACATCCAAATGAGATTGTTGCCAGGGTTCCAACACCAGTGACATGGCGTGTGCAAATTGTGTAGGGGAATTCTGAGCCCCCTGAGGCATGACAGTCCAGGTGTATTGCTGTCCTTCATGGGTGAAGGCAAAGAGGAAACGACATGAAGGGTCAAGGGGGACACTGAAGAAGGCGTTAGCTAGATCCACCACAGTGAATATTGTTGAAGTTGATGGGACTTGGGATAAGAGGGTGTGGGGGTTAGGAACAATGGCAGTGTCTTTGATGGTCACATCATTCACAGCACGGAGATCTTGTACCATACGATATTGGTCAGGTTGACCTTTAACAGTTCTCTTTTTAACAGGAAAAAGTGGAGTATTGCATGGAGACGAACACTTGATGAGGGCACCTTTGGTAAGGAGACTTTCAACTTGTCTGGTAATGGCTTCAGCTTGTGCAGGCTTTAGAGGGTATTGTGGTCTGCGAGGAGGCTGTGCCCCGGGCAGGAGCTGAACCAAGACCGGGGGCACATGCAAACGTCCAATATCATCCGGGCCGGTGGACCAAAGATCAGGTGGGATACGGTCCAGAGCACTGGGGGTTTGTGGGACCCGTGCATCCCCTGAGTTGTCAGTTAGGTTTAACAAAATAGGGAGTGAACAGAGGACAGAGGTATCTTTTTGTGATAAGGGAGTTGTCAACTCAATCTGCCCATCTGCAGTGAAGGTAATGGAGGCCTGGAGGCGAGAGAGAACATCGGCACCTAGGAGGTTAATGGGGCAAGTAGAGGAAACCACAAAGCGTGAGAGGATGTGTGAACCTACATGTAGGAGCTTAGTAAGGGGGTTGCTGCGTGGGGTACCATCCACCCCAACACAGGAAACATCAGTGTCAGATAAGAAAGAGGGGTCAGGCAGGTCTTGTTCCCTAAGGACACTACGGGCTGCACCTGTGTCAACCAGGAAAGTGGTGGGGTGGCCCTCCACAGGGAGAACAACAGTAGCTAGAGGGCCCCCTCCATCCCCCGCAGACACTGCCATGGCAGGGGTTGCTGACACAGGCTTGCCGGTTACCTATTGTAATAAATCTAAATGGGCCTGGTCTGGTCCCTGGTACCGGCGGGAAGTAGAAGGGGGGTTAACAGAATGCATGGGAGGGCGGGATGGGCGGAGGGTAGGACGGGGTTGGCCGTCTTGGAAATCATCATTATCAAACCCTTCTGCAGAGTGTGGAGTATACGTGCGAGCTTCTGATACAGGGGGCCGTGCTTGAGTGTATTCAGGAGGAGGAGGGGGGGGAGGAGGAGGAGGAGGAAGCTGAGGCAAATGTGGATGGGGAAGGGTGGGGAGGTAACCAGGGGAAGGGTAGTTATGGCCGGTGACATGGGGACCTTGGTACCGGGGACTAGGCTGGCGGAACACCCTAGGCTGTGGGCAATCTCTTCTGAAGTGGCCTGGCTGATTGCAATTAAAACAGGTCCGGATTGTCATAATGGTCCGGTCCCGGGGGAAAGGGATTGGCGCAGGCAGTGTGTGGGGTGATTGAGTGTACTGTTGGGGGAATACCTGGGGGACCTGATTAGAACTAGCGATAGGTGTGGGGGCGGTGTACATCAGTGGGCTAGCCCTGCGCTGTGTGGGTTGTAAAACAGATTCTAGGCCCTTGGCTACTAGCAAAAGAGTGTCTAGTGGAATAATTCTATACTCAGGGCGAGCTAAAATTAACCCCTTGCGAATGTGTTCTCTCAGTCCTGCCACGAAAGCTGCAGAGAGCATCTGGGTGTGTGCCTTGTTGTAAGTACTGAACCCTAAGTCCGAGAATGTCTGAGTCAACCTAGAATGGTACTTTTCAACGGTCTCAAGTTTGTCTTGGATTATATCATTAATGCAAGTAGCCTGGTCAGCTAGTTTATCCTGCGCCCAGGCACGAAGTTGTTCACAGAAAATTTCACCGGAATGGAAATCAGTATCAGAAGTAAGTGGAGCATCACTAAAGCTCCGTTCCATGATTGGCCAGTATGCATCTCCGGCCTTAATTTCACATAAACTAATAAGGTCCCGCCATGCAGCGGAATATGTCTTACGGATTTGAGCCACCCTGCGGAAAAAGGGCATGGGGTGCTTCTCAGGATCAGGGAGTGAAGTTACAAGGGTAGCGGCTTGGGAAGGGTTAAAAGTAACGTACATCGGTGGTGCACCATCCGCCCCATGGTTGATCTGAGTATACCCCTGGGGAAGTGAGTGCCGTTGGGGAAGCCTTTCCCCCCCCAGTTGGGGTTGGCTCTGGTCCACCATAACGACCTCCTCGGGCACTATTGTACCACGGTGAAGAATAGCCTCAGGGGTAGCTGTAGCGGGGGCAACTGGGAAGGGGGTGATAGGAGAGGTAATTGGGTGAAAACCCGAGGCTTGGGGGGAGGCACCCATCGCATAGGGCTGGTCCGAGGTCGCAGACACCTCGGACCCAACCACCATGATTGGGTAGCTGGTGCTGGTGGAAGGGGCACGGGGAACTAAAGCCGTGGAAGGAGCCACCATGGGGGACGGTGGGGCTGGCCGTGAGAGGTGGGTATTCAGGACATGGGCAAGGGCAGAGATTGGATCGGAAGACTCGAGGAAATTAACGTGAGACAAGGGAGGAGTCAAAGGCTCGGGAGGAGGAGGAGGAGGTACATCGATGGGAGGCGACGCGGGGATTGTGGAATTAACCAGGGAAGTGACCGCAGTGAAAAGGGCGGAGATTGAAGTTGATAGGTCATTGGACGGAGGTGCGTCAAGGGTCGCCGAGGAAGGGGTTGGAGGGATAGGAACAAGGGGCTGTGGCAAAGCAACGTAGGCGGAGGGTGTGGTCGGCAAATCGGCCGCGGAAGGGAGGGATAACGAGGTAGAGGAGGCCGGGACTTCGGGAGGAGGAGGTAACACTGAAGGAGAGGTGGTAACAGGGGGCTGGGTTAGGGCGGTGAGGGCAGAGATTAGGGACGGCAAATCGGCCGCGGGAGGGAGGGATAACGAGGTAGAGGGGGCCGGGACTTCGGGAGGAGGAGGAGGTAACACTGGAAGAGAGGTGGTAACAGGGGGCTGGGTTAGGGCGGTGAGGGCAGAGATTAGGGACGGCAAATCGGCCGCGGGAGGGAGGGATAACGAGGTAGAGGGGGCCGGGACTTCGGGAGGAGGAGGAGGTAACACTGGAAGAGAGGTGGTAACGGGGCTGGGTTAGGGCGGTGAGGGCAGAGATTAGGGATGGCAAATCGGCCGCGGGAGGGAGGGATAACGAGGTAGAGGGGGCCGGGACTTCGGGAGGAGGAGGTAACACTGAAGGAGAGGTGGTAACAGGGGGCTGGGTTAGGGCGGTGAGGGCAGAGATTAGGGACGGCAAATCGGCCGCGGGAGGGAGGGATAACGAGGTAGAGGGGGCCGGGACTTCGGGAGGAGGAGGTAACACTGGAGGAGAGGTGGTAACAGGGGGCTGGGTTAGGGCGGGGAGGGCAGAGATTAGGGACGGCAAACCGGCCGCGGGAGGGAGGGATCCTGGGTCAGCAGGGAGACAGAGATTCGGAGGAATAGGGCAGGTGTGAGGGGCACGGGGTAAGGGAGTTGGATGTGTGATGGACGGAGAGGGTGAAGGAACGGAGGCTATCAAGGAAGGGGTACTCGGGGTTGAGAGAGAAGCGGAAGGGGGTGGTGGGACTTCAATGGGTGAGGTGAGGGAAGCCATGGTAAGGTCCAGAGTGGGGACGGTCACTTGGGGAGGCAGCGAAGGACATGAAAGCGTAGGGGTTTCGACAGGCATGTCAGGAGGATGGTTAACGAAGGGGGTTGGATCATAGGAGGGCTGAGACATGGGAGCAGGAGGGAATGAATGAAGTGGCACTGGGTAATAGTAGGAACCATCTGCACCGAGCACGGGGCACAGGGGAGTGGGAGCTGAAGACACACCCCCAGTAGGTGGGGTCTGCGTCGTGACGGGGGAAACAGGGCGAGAATTAAGTGTTGCGCTCCGGGCGCCATCATAGGGCGGTGGTCGTGAAACAATAGGAACAACATCATCATTGTGAACACTCCTGTGATAAACATACACAATTTGCCCCTCAATTTCCAGTTCTTCCTCGACCCATCCTTCTCTTTTCAACCCTCTAGCTACTCGGTACCAAGCCTCTGCAACTTTCGTGAGTCCATTATCCAACAACAACCCTTCCTTGTCTATAAGTAACTTCCTCCAAAACTCAGGTTGCAATCTCCCGCTGGGCAACATCTGGAAACCACACACCTTAGCAATCTTTTTAAGTTTTAGCATTGCATCTTCACCTGCCCTT